TGATAGGAGTTACTGCTGGGGTTATCTTCCTTCAATTCAAGGACAAAGTCCAGCTCAATGCACTCCATGGCTGTCTTCAGGATTTCAGGGAATTGTTCCATAGGCTTTTTGTTATAAACCTTCAGCATGTCTGTCTCCAGAATGGGCTCTTTATTTTTATACTTATCATTCATAAACTACATCAATGTGCTTACCTTCAATGACAGAGAGTCTTTGCTTGAGTTCATATAGAAAGATGCTGCCAGGGAGGTGCTTGGACTTTATTTATGTTGAATCTTTGCACCTCCATTCAATTTTTTTTCATAGTAAAGCTACAGAAAAAGTGGTAGTTGCTGGGGCATTCTTCTGCAAAATGTTAGCAGCAGGAAGACCCTTCCTCCTTTGTAGCAGAGACCTCAGCACCCTGGAGGCCCTGGGCTTCACTAAGGGCCTATTGGTGCTTCTCACGGGCTCAGAGCTTACTCTTCTGTCCATGAGGCATGATGACTCTCTTGACAAACCTGCTGTGAAGAAGTGAGAGTGAGCCTTACTTAATTCATAGCCAATAAAGGAGAGCAAGACAGAGTCTCTTCCTCCTTTGCTACAGTGGCCTGAGCACCCTGGAGGCTCTGTTGTCCATAGCTTGCCATGATCCACACAATCAAAAGCCTTGTCATAGTCGATAAAACACAAGTAAACAACTTGCTAATATTCTCTGCTTTCAGCTAATATCCATCTGATATCAGCATTAATATCCCTCATTCCATGTCCAATTCTGAATATGTCTTGACCCTCTGGAAGTTCCCTGTCAAAGTGCTGTTGCAACCACTTTGAGTTATCTTTAGCAAAATTTTACCTGCTTGATGATTTCTGAATTCTGTTGGGTCACCTCTCTTTGGAACGGGAACAAATATGGATTTCTTTCAATTAGTTGGCCAGGTAGCTGTCTTCCAAATTTCTTTGCAGAAATCATTGAGTACCTCCAGTACTGCATCACGTTATTGAAGGATTTCCATTTGTATTCCATCAGTTCCTGGAGCAGTTTGCTTTGACAATGCCTTCAGTGCACATTGGACTTTTTCCTTATGTACCGTTGGGTCTTGATCGCATGCTACCTCTTGAAATGGTTGAACATAGACCTTTTTTTTTTTTTTTTTTTGGTACAGTGACTCTGTGTATTCCTTCCATCTTCTTTTGATGCTTTCTGTATCATTCAATAGTTCCCCACAGAATCCTTCAGTATTGCTTGTTGGAATTTGAAATTTTTCCTCAGTTCTTTCAGCTTGAAAAATGCTGAGTGTGTCCTTCCTTTTTGGCTTTCGAACTCTAGATCTTTGCACATTTTAATATAATGTTTGACTTTGTCTTCTCAAACTGCCCTTTGAATTTTTCTGTTCAGCTCTTTTACTTCCTCATATCTTCCATTTGCTTTAGCATCCCTATGCTGGACAGCAAGTTTCAGAGTCTCTTCTGACATTCATTTTGGTCTTTTCTTTCTTCCTTTTCTTCTTAATGACCTTTTGTTTTCTTCTTGTATGATGTTCTTAATGTCATACCATAACTCTTCTAATTGTCTGTTAGGAGTGTCTAAAGTATCAAATCTGTTCTTTAGGTGATCTTGAAATTCAGGTGAAATATGTTCACGGTCACATTTTGGCTCTCTTATAGTTTTTAAGGAGCTCTGGTAGTGTAGTGATTGCAAATCGTGCTGTGAACCTCACGGTCAGCAGTTCGAAACTACCAGCTGTTCTGTGGGAGAAAGATGAGGCATTCTGTTCTTGTAAAGATTTACAGCCTCAGAAACCCTGTACAGGGTCGCTATGAGTCGGAACTGACTCCATGGCACATAACAACAACAACAACATAGTTTTTTAATTTTCATCAGCTTTAGCTTGAATTTGCAAATGAACAGTTGATGGTCTGTGCCTGTCCTTGTTTTGACTGATGATATGGAGCTTTGACATCGTCTCTTTCCGCAAATGTAGTAAGTTTGATTTCTGTATATTCCATATAATGAAATCCATGTATGTTTATGTTGTTCACAAAAGGTATTTGCAATGAAGGAATCATTGGTCTTTCAAAATTCTTTCATGTGATCACCAGCATCATTCCTATCACCAAGGTCATATTTTCCAAGGACTGATCCTTCTTCTTTACTTCCAACCTTTGCATTCCAATCACTAGTAGTTATGAATACATCTTGATTACAAATTGGATAAATTTCAGACTGAAAATATTGGTGGACTTATTCAATTTCATAATCACTGACTTTAGTGGTTGTGTGTAAATTTGAATAAGAGTGATATTAGATCTTGAAATGTTCTTTCTGATGATGAATGTGACACTATTCCTCCTCAATTTGTCATTCTCAGTATAGTAAACCATGTGATTCTCAGATCCAAAATGGCAAATACTAGTCCATTTTAGCTCATTCATGCCTAGTGTGTATCAATCTTTATGTTTTATTTCATTTTTGACAATTTCCAATTTTCCTTGATTCATACTTTATATGTTCCATGTTTCAATTATTAATTTATGTTTGTAGCTGTTTTGTCTCATTTTGAATAGTGCCCTATCAGCAACAGAAGCTGTTTCCAACCTGAAGGGCTCATCCTTCCAGCAAGATATCTGGCAATATCGCGGTGCTATCCCTCATACATCAAATATTCAATATTCTGTTGTTATCTGACTGTGTTTCAAAGCTATTTATAATATCATTGGCTAAAAATTCGGAAGTAGTCCACCTTTCCTTCTTCCAAGTCTGTCTTAGTTTGGAAGCTCAGTTGCAACCTGTCCACCCTGGGTAACCCATCCCGCATTCAAAATACCAGAGGCAATTTCCAACATCATAGCAACATGTGACAAACTGAGAGATAAGTGATGGCTTAAACTTGATAGTGAACAATAAATGTGAAATCAACATGATTCAATTACGTATATGCTAAACTATTTAAATCTTCCAAAGTAAGGAGGAGGGAGGGGGATGAAGTGTAGGAAAGGAAGAAAAGGAAGGAAAGAAAGAAGGGTGGAAAATCTTCAAGTTACTGAATCAAAGAGGATATGCCATATATCCATGCATACCTCACTAGCACACGTAGGAAACTAACGCAAAAAGGTTTATGCAGTTTGCAAAAATCTGTTTAACACACATTATTATCATAAAACTATGGCACACTATTGAGCCCTGGTGGTGCTCTACGATAAGAACTGGCTGCTTGTTTATTGTTTTCTTGTTCTTATGTGCTTTATAGTTGATTCCAATGCATAGCAACCCCATATAGGGTTTCAAGAAGCAGCTGGTGGGTCTGAAAAACCAACCTTGATATTTGCTCAAGAGGGGGATTTAGGACACACCTTACACTTATACTGATTCATTGAAATAACAAAAAACCCATGCCCAACTGGGATTTGAACCTTAGGTATAGGGTTAGGATTTACAACACATATTTTGTGGTATACAATTCAATCCATATGAGGAAGTTTTGTGTTTAATGTGAATGTGGGGTAAATGTCACTATGTTAATGCAACACAAGGCTCTTCGAATTATTGCCAATGATAAAAAAAATTCTCACCCTGCTGAACTGCCATTTAAGTCACCCCAATTTTCATTTATATCACCAGAGCAACAAATCTGGTCTTCACCTGGAATTTGTCAATTGAAATTCATGATACTCTAAATAGAATGTCCTTTGAATGCAGTGGACTCTGACTCCATCATTCAAGACAAGGTCCTAGAACCTTCACTTCTTGACACCTCACTCCACGGAATATCACCCCAATTCTCAGAAACTTCCTTAATTATGTGAATAAAACATCCAGTCTGGGCATCGCTTTGAGAGCACTGGGACAGAGCACAGGACACCTTCCAGTCCTGCCCCAGGTGACGATTTCCCTCTGGTTTACCCACAATCCTAGAGTCATGATGAAGAGCCAATCTCCACTCCAGGCACAGGTGCTGATTCTGAGAAACTGCATGGAAGTGTGTGCACCTCCACGCACCTTCATGTTGTTGTTAAGTGCCAATGAGTCGGTTCTGACCCACAGCTACCCAGTAGAGGGTGTCCAAGGAGTGGCTGGTGAGTTTGAGGCACCAACTTTGTAGTCCAGTGCATTAACTCACAGTCTTACACAAGAACTCCGCACCCCTCCATAATCTATTCTAATCTCCCCAGAAACCCTCACTTATACCCCTAGCCCCATGCAGCCTAACGTAAAATCCCCTACATTACAGTTCGCTATGCAGCCTAACTTAAAATTCCCTCCCACTGAGACATCCAACTGTCTCAAAGACACAAACTGCCCTGCAACAGGGCATGCACATTGAGGGGTACCCTGAAGTCCTCATCTCCTTGTCACTAGTCCCTTAGGACTTGGTGAGCAGCTCAACCTTTTCCTTATTTTGCAGTTGCTCTTAGACTAGAAATATGTATGGACAGTGCCTGAAATTTGCGAGTGTTAGCAGGAAACCTTGCAAAGAGCTGACACTAAATTTCAGGAAAATAAGAGTCGGTCAACAAGAGTTCTAAAGCATCACATTTTATTTTCTCTCACATATCTCAATTCCCTAAATAAATCTGGGCACATGTGTATTTTACTTTTACTAAAAGGAATAAGGGAGTCAACAGTTGACAACCCCATAGATATTGCTCACTCTTTTTCTCAAACAGTTGTTGTGGACTTCCTTAACACTTCCAAGGATATACCTATTCTGATGCCACTTTACTTCTGGATCACAAAATTTGTTCATGGATTTTCAATTTCTTTACAAAATACAAAGTTCTTAAACCTATGAAATGATAAGACATTTGAAAGTGAATTTAGAGTCGGAGTCTCTATAATCCTTCAACTACAAGAAACAACATTGGAAAACTACAAAAATGAGCTAGATCTACAAGTCATTCATGTATAAGGGGCACATAATAAGGCAAAAATGCAAGCTCCCTCCATTCCCACTTAACTTCTAATGCTTACAGGATAACAGCCATTTTCAACAAGAAAGTGAAGACTCTGCTTTACTGCTTCACTTGGAGTGGGAGGACCTGCTGGACTTGGCCCTGAAACGGGCCATAGCCCTGGCATTACGACCTGACCATACTGTGGCTTCCCCTCTCTCTTCCTCATATCTCCAAGTTGCTTCATACAGGGCTTGAAATGCACTAGCGTCAACATTCTTTATCTTAATCATAAACTCTATGACTTTCGTCATACTGGCTTCAGTACGGGCTCTGGGCCCCCACAGGAACTCATAGCATGGAGGATCACTGCCAGGTACCTGCCGGTACTCCAGGTACTTTTCCTGCACCAAATCTCTGGTCAGAAGCTTCCTGGGGTCACCGAAGATGAAGTGTCTTTTTCCATCATATATCCCTAGTATACTCAAGAATTCCCATATCTTCTCCTCAGGGGCCCGGTGGTTGTTCATATAGATCACACCCAGGAGAGGCATCAGAATCCCTTGCTTGGGAAGCCCCCTGCCACCACTCAGATTCTCTTCCTTGGTCATCTTCAACTGACTAACCAGAGCATAGGACTGACCTTTCGGGTCAACTTCCTTCAGCTCAAGACCAAAGACAAGGTCCATGTGCTCAGAGACTCTCCTGAGGATCTGAGGGAAATGTTCCTTGTACTTTTTGTTGATGATCTTCATCATTTCTGTCTTGGTAATGAGCTCTTTCATGTTGTACTTATATAGCAGGAACTGCAACAACAGGCTAGTTCTCCAGATCACAGGGTCTCTTTGAGACTTCTCAGTGGAGGGTGAGGTCTTAGTGGAATTTAAACTTCCCTCTTCTTGGTTGTTGGCACCTACATCAGCAATGGCAATGGAGATGGATGGGACTCTGTCAGCCCCATTATGACTAGGAGTAACTGGCGAGCTCTGGAGAGAATCCCCAAAAGAAGTAGAGGGGGAGGGGAGAGACCCTTCTTCCTCTACTCTAGTGCCCTGAACACACTCAAGACCGTGGGTGTCACCTCGGTCCTGGCAACGTTTCTCCCGGGCTCTGAGCTTACTCTTCTGACCTCGAGGCATGATGACTCTGGTCAAGGACAGCAGGCAGGAATGTGGGAAGACAGGTGATACCTGTACTCTGCAAGAGGGAGTTTGAAAGCCTGTGAGCCAAGTCAGCAGAGAGATTCCTTCTTGGCTTTAACAGTCACACCGAAGCCTCTGCAGAATTCTTTGAGGGCACTGCTCTAGGAACCCACAAGACTCCTAGTATCCTGGTCAGGACCCTGTAGAGACAATGCATGTAAAGATTAGTTGTCACATGCCAGCTCTATTTGGGGCTTACTGCATTGACAGTAGGGTCTGCTAGTAATGACTTTCATGGGGAGAGATGTTCACAGTTCACTTTCTGGACCATTATATCTACTCCTGACAGAACCCGTATTCCCTCCCCTTTTCTCCTCTAAATGCAACACCTCAAAGCATTTTAGGACCCGCCAGTATGAAGTGGAAGAGTAGTTTAGACACCACTCTTGGCCAGCTGTCCCAGTGATGTTAATGACATAAGGCTCGTTCTGTCCTGGGTTCACTGGACGCCTGAGTTCTCCCTTAGGGGCCTCACCTTGGCTGACTCCTTTGAACAGGTCCTTCACCTTCCTGAGGTGTCCAGGGAGGAAATGTGTCCAACTCACTGCCTCAGCATGTCCAGGTCCCCCAGTTCTATAAATAGACGAGGGGATGATTAGAACCCCTTTGTTATTTGGAGAAATCACCTCATTCTAACTGTCTACATTGCATCTGCTGTGTAAGCCTTCCAGTTAGTCAAAGTACTTCTTGCCCAGGAGAGGAACACAGGAAGCGGCACATTAGTGTTATCTCTGATCGGGCCTTCATAAGGGTAATAGTATGAGGCAACTTTGGTCAGCCTTCCCTCTTCTTCCAGGGGGTGGTGAGGTTTAGGGGGTGGGTTAGTTCCATCTTTCTGCTTAAAGGACTTTCCCTTAACTCCCCTGCTTCTTGGATTTCTCTCTCTGCTGAATTGGGTCTGAAACAAAGGACCTCATTTCCCTGAGCCCATGTAGGCAGAAGTCAAGGAGCATTTTAGATTGCCAGTTTTGTCCTGGACTCCCAAGATCAATGGAATTCACAGAGCTCAATGAATCCCTTTCCATTTTGAATTGAGTGGTTCCCAGTACCTCAGTCATGTCTTCACCTTAACTCCACTAGGATCCTGAGATCCTGAACCACAGCCAAGCTGAGGTCACAGCCCTCAGACAATAGACCACCCCTTCCTGAGAACTGAGAGTTAGAGATCAGATTGAGCTCTGCCTGCAGGGGCTCTGTAGGAGAAGCACTAGAACAGGAACCACAAGGTTGTCAGTTCGAGTCCACCAGATGCACCACAGGAGAAAGATGAGGTTTTCTGCTCCCACAAAGATTTACAGCCTAGGGAACCCATTATAAGGTCACTATGATTCTGAAGTGATTTGATTACACTTTACAAACAGCAAGGAATGTCAGGGTGATGGGATTTGAGTGGTGTTAGAGTGGGATATGGGTGGAAGAATTTGTTGTTCTTGTTGTTGTTCTGTGCCATTGTGTAGGTTCCGATTTAAAATGACCCTTTACATCATTTCTGAGGAGTGGCTGGTAAATTTCAAATGCTGACCCTGTGGTTCAAACCCACATCATGGTCCAATGCTTATCCCACCTTGCCTTTCCAGGACTCTAGGTGGAAGATAGGGGAGGGTCTCTGAGACCTCACAGTTGTCAGTTTGATGACCCCAGCACTCCTCACTCACGCTTCTGACCCTGACTCTAGTTAAACCCAGGGATTCCTATTCCCCTGAGTTGGTCTGGAAGCAGGTGTGTATCTATATGTTTCGGACTCCAGCCCTTAGAGGGGATTTCGGGACGCTGCACTTCTTCCTAGTCCTGTTGGGGGCTCTAAGAGCAAAGTGCAGGCACAGGGCTCTTGGTAGGCCCTCAAAGGCGGGGAGGCTTCCTCACAAGCACTAAGGGTCCTTGCCTAACCTCCTGTTAGTTCTCCTCCCTCTTAGAAAGTGGAGGTCCTGCCTTAGACCAAGTCCATTCACTTCTTTTGACTGTTCAGACTGAAGTTAGCATTGGGACCAAACCTTGTAGGGTCTCCTCTATCCTAGGTTAAGTGAACCCCTCTGTCCACATTCAGGGTCCTCACCTGGGCTTCCATTCAGTATTGGAAATCCAAGTCTCCTAGAATGAAGGAACACAGCCCCCTCCAATTGATTGCTAGTCAGTGTGTTCCACAGAACTGCTCCATAGGGTTTTCTTGGCTATAGTCATTACATAACTGGATTGCCAGGTCTTCATTCTGTAGTGCAGCTGGTTGTGCTTCACTGCCAACTTGTAGCTTAATAGTTAAACCCAATTTAGCCATCCTTTAGTATTGTCATTGTTTTGAGTGTTGCTGTATACAAAATAATACAAGTGGATGGCTTTAACAAACCGAAAATCATTGTCTCACAGTTTAGGAATCTAGAAGTCAGTTCTAGGAGAAGGTCATTTCTCTCTGTGTGAGTTCTAGGATAGGTCTTTGGCTTCTGTTTCTTGGTTCCTTGGAGATCTCATGTGGGATGGTATTCCTCATCCCCCATCAGTCTAGATGATGCTTGTGTTCTAGGGAGCATTCTAGTTGTATTTCTTCCAAAACTGTTTTTTTGTTGTTGTTCTTATTTTCTTCTGGATGTTAATGATACTTCAAATACTCTTCTTCAACACCACAATGCAAATACATCTGTTCTTCCATGATCTTCCTAATTCATTGCCCAAGTTTCACATGAATATGAGATGATTTAAAATACCATGACTTGGGCCAGGCACAACCGTAGTCATCATACTGGTATCTTTATTCTTGAACACTTTAAAGAGATCTTGTGCAGCAGATTTACCTCACAAAATATGTCATTTAATTTCTTGCCTGCTGCTTACATAAGCTAGAGTGCTTCTTACAAGCCAGAGTGGCAAGACTTTATGTCATACTTCCTACATATTATCAGGAGGAGCAGTCCATAGAGAAGGACATCATGCTTGGTCAAGTGGATCAGCAAAAAAGAGGAAAAGCCCCCAATGAGATGGACTGTCATTGTGGCAGCAGCAATGGGCTCAAGAGTAACATTTGTGATGAGGGAGCAGGACCGGGCAGTGTTTCGTTCTCTTGTGCATAGTGTCTCTATGACGTGGAACCTACGCTACAGGACCTAACAAATTTCCATAAGTGCTAATTATGGATTCAAGTACAATGAACTCGTTGACTTCAATCTTCTCTCCACTTACCATCGTGTTTATTAATCCAGTTGTGAAGACTTTTTTTTCTTTATGTTGAGATGCAATCCATACTGAAGATTGTGGTCTTTGATAGTCATCAGTTAGTATTTCAAATCCTCTTCACCTCCAGCAAGCAAGGTTGCATCATGTGCATATCACACAATCCTGAGGCTACCTTCCACTTCATATAATTTCACTTCTTGGATTATTTGCTCAGTATGAAGATTGAATACACATGTTGAAAGAATAATATGCTGGCACACACCTTCCCTGATTTAAACTATTCAGTATTCCCTTGTTCTGTTCAAATGGCTGCCTCTTGTTCTATATACAGGTTCCTCAAGAGCACACTTAAGTATTCTGGAATGCCTATTCTTTGCAATGTCATCCATAGCTTGTCAAGATCCATATAGTCTAAAGCTTTTACATAGTCAATAAAGCACAAATGAACATCTTTCAGGTATTCTGTGCCTTCAGCCAAGATCCATCTGATGTCAGCAATGATATCCTTCGTTTCATGTCCTCTTATGAAATTCGACTTGATTTTCTGACAGTACCCAGTTGATAGACTGTTGCAGCAACATTTGAATTATCTTCAGCACAATTTTACTTGCATGTAATAGTAATGATATTGTTAGCCAATTTACTTATTCCTTGGGGTCACCTCTCTCTGGAATGGGCACAAGCATCAATCTCTTCCTTTCAGTTGGCTGTCTTCCGAGTTCCTTGGCATAGATGAGTGGTGTCTCCAGTGCTTCATTAGTTTGTTGAAATATTTCAGTTTGCATTCCTTCAATTCCTGGAGTCCTGTTTTTCATCAATGCCTTCAGTGAAGCTGTTGTACTTCTTCCTTCAGTACAACAAATTCTTGATGATATGCTACTTCTTAAAATGGCTTAGTGTCGACTATTTCTTTTTGATATAGTACCCTCTGTATTCCTTCCAGCTTCTTTTGATGCCTTCTACATCATTCAATATTTTGCCCATTGTTGTTGTCAAGTCAGTTCTGATACATAGTGACCCTGTATAGCATTTCCGAGGAGCAACAGGAAGTTTGAATCAAACCAACCATGTAGTCCAATGCTTCTCCTACAGTACCACACCAGGACTCCATTTTGTCCATAGAATCCTTCAATATTTATTGTTGAGGCTTGGATTTTTACTTCAGTTCATTTCTGCTTAAAACGTGCTGAGCCTGTTCTTCCCTTTTGGTACAGGTCTTGACTTTGTCTTCTCTAAAGCTGTCCTTCGAAAGTTTCTGTCCAGCTCTTTTACTTTCCCATTTCTTCCATTTGCTTTAACATCTCTACACTGTAGAGCAAGTTTCAGAGTCTCTTCTGACATCCATTTTGGTCTTTTCTTTCTTTCCTGTCTTTTAAATCATCTTTTGCTTTCTTCCTGCATGTTGTTCTTGATGTCATCCAACAACTCTCTTAGTCTTTGGTCATTAGTGTCTAATGCATCAAATCTGTTCTTCGGATGATCTCTAAATTCAGGTGGATGTATTCAAGGTCATGTTTTGGCTCTCCTGGGCGTGTTTTAATTTTCTTCAACTTCAGCCTGAACTTGCTAATGAGCAACTTGCATATGAGCCATGAAGGTCTATTTCACAATTGGTGTGGCCTTGTTTTGGCTGAGGAGATACGAGTTTTCAATTCTCGCTAGAGCCAATTTTATTACTGTGTATTCCATATGATGAGGTCCATGTGTTTAGTCACCTTTTTATTTGTTTATTGTTGTTTAAACAAGGTATTTATTATTAATATGGCATTGTTCTT